TTAGTAAGATTTTTGGATATAAAGGAGAATTTTGCTTCTTTTAAGTTTAGGTGGGTTTCTGAGATACCAAATATGTCAATTTGATTTTCTGTAATATAGTCTACTAGGCATTATTGTTTGTAGCTCTCTATTAGACCATTTGTATTGAAGGAATTGATTTTGAGTATGTGAGTTAGTATTTTATTTTCTGTAGAAGGTGAGTTTGTTGTTTAGTAGTTAGTAAGATTAAGAAAATTTGCAGATTCAAGAAAGGTGTTTTGGTTAATTAGTGGTTGTTTAATTTTTGTACAAATTGGTAAATTATAGAATTTGTAGTAGAGGTAAGGAGAGAGTATAATATGATTAGGAAGTGTTGGTTCTTTTGTATTTGTATAAATATGGGTTTTAGTTTGAGATGCATTTATTAAGATTTTGATTAGAAGTAGATATGATAGTTTTTGTAAGTATTTGAGAAATGAATTAAGTATTTCATTTTTGCTAAGTATTAGAAGATTATTTGTTAGTAAAAAGTTGTTAAAATAGATAATTTCTTCAGTGTGAGATGATGTATTGGTAACTGAAGGGAAGGATGATTCTTCTGTAGAGTTGCTTGCCATATACCTGGTTTTCACAGTTATACAAGAGTCTAAAGCCTGTTTTGTATGTTGGGTCTGGCCATCATAAAATTGGTCTTCCATATACAGAGAAACAGTTGAATTATTTAAACAAGATATATTTATAAGATTTAGTCTAAAAGATAAAAAGCTAAACTACTCTAAAGCAAAATTTTGTATAGAACAATTTTTCTTAATAGCCTAGAAATTGTTTACTTAGTAAAATATTTAGTTATAACAAAATATTTTTTTGAAGTTTTGGTATAAGTGATCTATGAAAAGAGTTACCTCTAAATTACTTCTAAAACTTGTTTTTTATTAAGTAATATAGATAATATAGTAAATTTATTTTCTAATCTTTCTATTTTTAAATTAACTTTTTTATACTATAGACCTTAATACTTGTGACAATTAAACTCTTTCTTTGGTGTAGATTTTCTCAACATGCTTCTAGAAAAATTATTCTTTAGATTTTTTTTCTTTTATTATTTAATAAGTAGATTTTAATATCCTATATATAGGTTAAAATATAGAAGTTGCTTGAATATAAGTGACAATAGCTTCAAATTTCTTATTTATCTGATAAATTTCTTCAAATATCTTTTATAGTTTATTTTCTATATTTTCAAGTTGATTATTAGTTTAATTTGATCTCAGGTTGATTCTTGAGTGGGATTAGTTCAATCTCACAGTTATCACCAATTAAAAAAGTCTGAATTGGTTCTAGACTAATACTAGTTCAGATGCTATATCATATGAAAAATTAGATCTACAAACAATCAATACAATCTAACAATCAATCCTAAGTTGGAAGGCTGAAAGACAGCATGAAAGATTTGGTTCAGGTTTTAGGACTTTTATAGATTATCCAAGTTCAACATCTCTGTTCATATGTTAAGTTATCTCAGTCTCTATGAAATCTATGGATAGTGCTATGGAACAGTGCAGTTACATAACTAACAATACAGCAATTTTTTGAAATTTTAAATGAAAATATCTTGACAACAACCTGATAAAATCTGATGAATTTTTTTTACATTAATTGTACACATTCATAGAATCAGAATAAAAAATTTTCAGTGAATTTCACTAAGTGGTTGTTGAGATATCTTCAACCAAAATCAGGTCAATTTTCAAATATCTATCAAATTCAAAACCACTTCAAAATTTTTTAAATTTTAAACAAAGATATCTCAAACAACCACCTAAGGAAATTCAATAAATTTTTTTATTTTGATTCTGAGAATATATAGAATTAAATTAAAAAAATTTCATCGAATTTTATCAGGTGGTTGCTGAGATATCTTCAACAAAAGTTTGGTCAATATTCAAAACATCTATCAAATTCGAAGCTACTTTAAAAATTTTCAAATCTTTAAATGAAGATATCTCAACAACCACCTAATTAAACTCGATGAAAATTTTTTTATTTGATTCTACACATATGTAGAATTAAATTAAAAATAGTTTCATCGAATTTCATAAAGTGGTTGTCAAGATAGCTTCGTTTAAAGAATTGGAAAATTTTAAAGTAGCTTCGAATTTGATAGACATTTTGAATATTGACCCAGCTTTGGTTGAAGATATCTCAGCAACCACCTGATTAAATTCGATGAAAATTTTTTTATTTATTTCTATATATTCATACAATCAGAATAAAAAAAATCAATGAATTTAATTAGGTGGTTGTCGAGATATCTTCGTTAAAATTTCAAAAAATTGCAATATTGTTAATCACGTGACTGCACTGTCCCTAAGCACTGTCCGTAGATTTCCCGCTTAGTCTCAGTTTCTAATAAGTCAAGAAATGATGTACTTGACTTTATTAGCGATTTCTTAATTATCGGGAGGAGGGGTAATTAGAGATTAGCTAATGTGGTATTTTGGGAGTTATTTATGGTTTTTCGAATTGTCTCAAACTTGAGATGATTTTATTAAAAAGGAAAAAGTCATCTCTTATATACTTTGTTACATATTGTGAACCCGGAAACGTGATATGTATAAACTGCGTATATCATTAAACGGATTAATGAGATTAAAGAGATTAATAGGGTAAGTAGTTTAAATAGATTAATGAGTTAAAATGAATTAATAGACAGATACGTTTATATGTTCTGACAATTATAAATAAAGGCCGTGAAGGCTATAGAGGGAAGATATCTCCCAACTTTGCATCATTCAAATTAATAATCTGACTTCCCCTTACATAATAAATACCTTAAATAATAAAGTTCGCTAAATACCTAACCACATAAAACCCGTAATTACCCTTTCTCCCAAATTATTGAATATCCCGTCCGGCTGTTGTATCCTAACGTACCAGGATCAGCCGTGGTTATCGCATCCAACTATCCGAAGTAGTGTGATAGTTGTGGTTACATCGTTACCTAATTACCCGAAGTAGTGTGGTGATTAAGGATTAAAGTTAGTAAAGACACCAGCGTACAAGAAACCAAGTTTAAAGAAGGAATACTTACCTACGGACACCAAACCACCGACCAATCTAAACGCCTCTTTCCGACTAAGCCAACCGTAGGTTACGCAAGGATTAAGACTGTTGAGCGACTGACTCGCCGCTGTGCCCGGTTTCAATATTCACTGTGTCCACTATAGCTGAAATATTGACTATAATCGCTATAGTGACTATATTCACTATATTCGCTTAATTGAATTTCTGTAACATCGTACTAAATTAAATATGGAAACATTGATACTTATGGGTAAGGCTTTTAATTATACATGTTTGTACTAATAAAATACTAAAAAAGACAAAAATAAACCATCGTGCTATGTCGAAGCGCAGTATTTTCGGAGGGTCAAATTAGCCCTTTACAAAGATAATACGAGAGATTTATCTATTTGCAGCACCAATTCTGAATAAGGACAGTTGTAATTTTGATTCGTATAAAAATATTTATCATATCACAGAATATATTTTGTACATTTTATTTTTAATCGTTTATAAGCTTTATAGAAGGTCTACCTAAATAAAATGCGGAATCTTATATCTAAAATGAATAGAATGAGAAATTTTTTGGGCTTAGTTTTTATAATAATTCTATACCTAATTGTAATATACAAGATTCCAATTTATAATAAATACAAGATTTCAAATATAATAAAAGATCGTAATCAGATTGATCTTGCTTTTGCTAATGTTACTCGATTTGTTAATCCTTTAATTGGAACTGCTAACGGTAATGTTTAATTCAAATTTCAATTTAGGTGAAATCAAAAATTAATTAATAATCTCCGTTTTCCTTATAATAAAACAACAAAAGATGGGCATGTTTTTCCTGGCCCTTGTCTTCCTTTTGGAATTGTCAAAGTAGGATTTGATACTGATGATAAATCAGATTTCAATGGAGGGTAAGGATTGTTTGTTAAATTTCGTCGCTCAGCAAGAATGTTGGGACTAGAGATGGATTTCATGCGTGCTCATTTTATCCCATCAAGATTTTATATAAAAAAAAAAAAACTTAATATAAGTTTCAAGATTTAAATTTCAGATGTTTTACCCTCGTTTATTATATAGACAGCATTAAAGGAATATTAAATTTTCTTGTCGTTCACCTCTTTAATTTCTTTTTTTTTTTTTTTTATCATGCGATATTGTGCGCATGTTATTACAAAATACGAATTTTTCCCGTCTTTAGTTGGGACAATTGTAACACTTTCCGCAGTGCGGTGAATATAGAAATAACTTTATCTTCTCATAATAATATTATTACTCATCTCAATTTGCAGATACACTACTAAAGGATCTATTACAGGAATATCTCGTGAGTATTTCGATAAAATTTTAATTAGTACTGTATATATTTATAAAATATACTTAAATGCAAAAAATTCTTTACAATAGATTTACATGTCAGTGGAACGGGAGGTAAAAAAAAAAA